CACCATTTAAAATATTTTGGAGTGACCCCAGAGATCCATGACCTGTAGTCATTTGTCATTTTGCCAGAACAAGGATTTTAAACATCTGAGGACCTAAGAGCCACTTGAGTGGATGGCTAGCATTCTATCTCACCATAACTTTGTGGTTCTTTTTTTTTAATGAATGAGAGGTTCTTACGTTGCCCAGGTTGGCCTATGAACTCATAGCCTCGCCTCTCAATCACCAGGACAATTGGCCTGAGCCACCGTGGCTCCTGATTTTGCAGTTCTTTGTTCATGGTTGGGGATGCAGAAGTTTTCCTTTGGTAATTAAAAAAATAAAAACAACCACGATGGTTTTTTCTTTGGAAAAAAGTCAGCTGCTTCTTACTGGTATTAAACTGAAGAGAAATTCAGCCAGAAAATGAAATATAACTGAGTGTGAAATGCAGCTGTGCTGGACTAGACAGGGTTAACACTTGTGTTTCCCTCCCTCCCTCCCTGCCTGCTCTTTCTCTCTCTTTTCCCCTCTCTTTCTCTGTTTCTTTCTTCCTTTCTCTTTTATTCTTCTGTCTTTCTCTTTTCCTTCTTCCCTCAATCCCTTCCTCCCTCCCTTCTTTCCTTCCTTTCTTCCTTCCTTCCCTCCTTCCTCTCTTTCTCTTTTCTCTCTCTCTCTCTCTTGCTCTTTCTTTCTTTCCCAGAGTCTCCCTCTGTCACCCAAGCTGGAACGCAATGGTGTGAACACTGCAGCCTCTAACTCCTGCCTCCCAGGGTGCTGGATTACTGGAGTGAGCCACTGCCCCTGGCCCCCACTTACACTCTATACAAAAGAAAGACATTGAAGAAGCTGTTTGAATATGACCCAAAAAAATGGTCATCAAAGGAGTAACTTACACTTTAGTGAAACTTGAAAAGGAGTTTAATATGCTACATGAGGTTATGCACATGAAACAGTGAGCCTTTGATTCTGGAGAACAAGAGGCATCTGCATAAACAACATAGAGATTCAAAAAGGCTTGGGAAAGTGTTGCTCAAGCATGTCATGGGTTGGCTGTAATCAGAAATCAAGCTTGTGGGAGCTGTTGTTGGGAAAGCCCGTCAGCAGGTAAGCAGCAACATTGCCCCTGGCTAGAGTTGTGAGGAGGGACTTGGGTGGAGCATGGGGAGGGACTTAGACCTGGAAGGCCTGGAGGAAGAGCTCAGCAAATCATCATGATCACACCACTACACTCTGCACTGCAGCCTGGGTGGCACGGTGAGACCCCGGATCTTAAAAAAAAAGTTGGGGTTGGAGGAGGACTTTTGGCCCCAGGAATGAGACAGAAGCTAGCCAACAGAACCCAGGACAGGCTGGAAGTCCAAGCTGACCCCACAGCAAACTTACTTTGTGTTGTGTTCCCCAGTACCAAGCCAAACATCCTACTCTTCCTTTCCTTTCTTTTATTTTTATTTTTATTTTTTTTTTGAGACAGAGTCTTGCTCTGTTGCCAGGCGCCAGGCTGGAGTGCAGTGGCGCGATCTTGGCTCACTGCAACCTCCACCTCCCGGGTTCAAGCAATTCTCCTGCCTCAGCCTCCTGAGTAGCTGGGACCACAGGCATGCGCCACCACGCCCAGCTAATTTTTACATTTTTTAGTAGAGACGGGTTTTCACCATGGTCTTGATCTCTTGACCTTGTGATCCACCCGCCTCTGCCTCCCAATGTGCTGGGATTACAGGCGTAAGCCACCATGCCCGGCCCCTACTCTTCCTTTCTATGATCAGGATTAGTCCTAAAAATTGTGGCAGCGCTGAGCCTACAGGTTTGAAGGGGTTCAGGAGATCTGAGATACGGAGAAGAGGGCCAAAAATGCTAGGAACTAGGAAGGGTGTGAGGACATTTTCTGAATGAGAAGAGCATGCAGAGCTCCTGGATAGGTCAAATGATGTAACATCTGGTTCTCCCTCTTTGCTGGGGAACCTTTATATTAAAAAAGTCCTCAATTTGTGGCTGCCTGGCTTAAGGCTAGGGCAATTTGTACTGTGTCGACTTGAGTAAGTTGAGATCTACATTTCCCAGAATACCATTCCCCATACGGTTTCAAGAGTGAGTTGGCCAAAATTGGAATTTGCAGGATATTAGGCAGGCAGAGGTGAAGTAGCAGTCCTGACCCTTTGTAGGCTGTCGTGATTAGAAGTGATTACAGACAGATGCAGAGGTGCCTATAAACCACTGGTTTCAGGTGTGGGCTCGTTGTTTTCTTGCTGTCTTCTGCTCCCAATCTACCGCTTCTTATCAACTGCTGATCTATAGAACAACAGTGGCTTTTTTTTTTTTAGACACAGTCTGGTTCTGTTGCCCAGATTGGAGTGCAATGGTGTAATCTTGGCTCACTGCAATCTCTGACACCCCCTCCCCGCCGTCCAGGTTCAAGCAATTCTTGTACCTCAGCCTCCCAAGTAGCTGGGACTACAGGCGTGGGCCACCATGTCTAGCTAATTTTTCAATTTTTAGTGGAGACTTGGTTTAGCCATATTGGCCAGGCTGCTCTCAAGCTCCTGGCCTCAAGTGATCCAACTGCCTTGGCCTCCCAAAGTGCTGGGATTACAGGTGTGAGCCATTGCACCCAGACCAATGGTGAACCCTTGACTCACTGCCAGATACTTGACAGTGAGGCACAAAAAAAGTAGCTACGCAGAGCGACGGCTTTCCACTGACCTCCCATGAGCTTGTTTTGCCATTCTATTTTGGGGCTGGATGTGCTTAGCTTCTCAGATTGACCAAATAGTAATCTCTTCTCTGATCCCCAACTTTTCTCCTGGACCTTCACTTTCTTGCGCCCTCCCAGTTAAAATGTATAAGATCTTGTCCTAGAATACATTTCCTATCCCATAAGTAGTAGTTCTGCTTCCCTGAATAACCTCTGACTATATACTAGGCAGGCTGTGAAAAATCCAGGCGGCTGCTTACTTACTGTACGGATTATTTGGTTCCAAGAAACAGAAAGCCATGCTGAACCAATTTAAGCAAAAAAGGGGCTCTTTATTGGCTGATGTTCTCCAACCATGGAAGTGCTGGGGTGACTGGAGCCAGGAATTTAAAAACGGTCAGTCTCTTATCTCTGCCACTCTTTTCCTGTTAGCTTTATTCTTCCCTACATGGGGAAAGGCCAATCAGCCCAGCTTGGGTCATGCGTCTACCACGAGGACTAATCACAGGCTAGAGGAATGAGGCATTACAATTGATCCACCTGGCTCACTTGCCCACCTCCATGATATGGGATTGAGCCTATTATTAGAAAAAAGGGTAGCATAAATGTGGCTGCTCAGAGAATTGTAAGCCAGGAAACTACCTCCAGTTACGTCTACTACACTACTTTTAGTAAAATTCAACTGGGCAATTTTGAGCGTAACGAAAGCCATTTCTAGCTAAGGCATTTAAAGACATGTCTAGTAGTTGGAGGACACAAATAAGTTGCATACGCTCTTCATAGAATCTGATGTTACAGACCAGGCGCAGTGGTTCACACCTGTAGTCCTGGCATTTTGAGAGGCCAAGGTGGGTGGATCATCTGACATCAGGAGTTCGAGACCATCCTGTCCAACATGGTGAAGCCCTGTCTTTACTAATAACACAAAAATTAGCCGGGTGGGGTGATGCATGCCTGTAATCGCAGCTACTCGGGAGGCTGAGGCAGGAGCATTGCTTGAACCGGGAGGCAGAGGTCGCAATGAGCTGAGATCACACCATTGCACTCATCTGGCTGACAAGGGCAAAACTGTGTTTAAAAAAAAAAATCTGATATTACACTAAAGGCTTTGAGACCTTTTTGTACTTTACGGGAAACCTTAAAAACATCAGTTTATTATTGAGGATCTTTAGATGGAGCTCCAAAATGTGTCTCACTAGAGGCTTGCTAAGATGGGCAAAAGACACTTTGACAGTGAAAGAAGAGAAGAGCAACATAAAGTCTTTTTTTTTTTTTTTTTTTTTTAGTAGAGATGAGGTTTCACCTTATTGGCCAGGCTGGTCTTGAACTCCTGGCCTGATGTGATCTGCTAGTCTTGGCCTCCCAAAGTGCTGGGATTACAGGTGTGAGCCACTGTGCCCAGCCAAGATCAATGTAAGTCTTAATTAGGAAGCAAAAAAGTGAAAGATGGAGAAGACTACATCTTTACTACATTGAGTCTCTCCATTCATTAACATGATATATAATAATGTCTCCATTTATTTAAGAATTATTTTAGGCCGGATGCGGTGGCTCACACCTGTAATCCCAGCACTTTGGGAGGCCGAGGCATGTGGATCATGAGGTCAAGAGATCGAGACCATCCATGGTCAACATGGTGAAACCCCGTCTCTACTAAAAATTAGCTGGGCATGGTGGCACGTGCCTGTAATCCCAGCAACTCAGGAGGTTGAGGCAGGAGAATTATCTGAACCCAGGAGGCAGAGGTTGTGGTGAGCTGAGATCGCACCATTGCACTCCAGCCTGGGTAACAAGAGCGAAACTCCATCTCAAAAAAAAAAAAAAAAAAAAAAAGAATTATTTTATGTCTTTAAATAAAGGTTGTAAGTTTTCTCCATGAATGTTTTGGCCATATTTTATTAGACTTATTCCTAGATACTTTATAGATTTTGGTACTATTACAAATGGTATTTTAAAAATTAAATATTCTAATTGTTTGCTATTAATATATAAGGAAGTATCCTCCCCCACCTCCCAGACATCTTATATCCGGAAACTTTAGTGAACTTTATCATTAGTTCTAAGAATTTATCTGAAGAGGCTCTTGAATTTTCTCTATATTGTCTCCTAATTTTTCACATTAAAGTTAATTTTTCTTAGGTGAAAAGTCTAAATTAAATAATGTAGGTCTAGGATTATAATATCCCGTATTATTGTTTTATGCCTTAACAACTAACAAAATTGATTTAGCTCTTACTGAAAATCATACTGGTCTACGCGAGTGCTTTGCAAAGTGTGTTTCATCAGCCAGGAGAAAGTTTTCATATTTCATACTATATTCTTTTCTTGAAGGTTCAAAAAGGTCCTGAGAAGTCCTGCAAAGAAATGTCTCAAAATTGGGTAAACCCTGCATTCCAAACTGACTTCATCATGGAACCCCCTTCCAAATAATACTTTCAAGCCTTTTGAAGAACTACTTTTAAAAAAATTACTATTATTATTTTTTCTCTCCTCCCCTTCCCTGAAGAACTACTTTTTATAAAGAACACACTTTGGGAAATGGTGGTCTAATGAAATAGGTCATGAAAACTGGATAACCCCAGGATTTTCTCAAGAATCTACTCTCTCATTCACGATGTTCTGTGGAAGCTAAACTGGGTGGTATAAGGCTCTATCTGGCTTTTTCTTTTTCTGTTCTTCAGTCTGTAACAATAACTCCCCGTGGGTTAATGTTGGCATCTAAAAGAAAAGAAAAATATGCACATTAAGTCTCATGAGGCTACCCAGTATGTCTGTTCCTCAGGAAAGGGTCACAGCTGGTCGCAGTGGGAGATCGTCCTTGCAGTTCCATCAGTATCTTTTAACCAATGTTGAGATCACATTTCTTCTCTTTCTGTTTCCCTTCCTGCTACACCCCAGGCCATCAGCTCTCATGCCCTGTGTTTTTCCCCACATTATACAGAACCACAAGTGTTTATCAAAAGCTGTTCTTTCCGTGTTCTGTATTATGTACAAAGGCTAAAAATTTGACAGAGTATAACTAAATAAATGGAAATGTAAAAGCCTCACAAGTAGGAACATACTTTATTGGGCGGGGGGAAAGCTGTGGTTATGTAAGTTTTCCTTGGATTGCTATTTCTGATCAGGATGCTTATTACATTATCTGAAAGAATAATGATGAGTGTCTACCTTAATGGGTCTCACATCAAACTTACTTGAGGAGTTCAGAAAAAACACAGGGTTTTCCCCACCTGGGACCCCCTGCTTTAGAATCTCCAGTGATTAAGCACTTGTATTTTTAAATGCTCTGGAGTTCATTCTTTGGCATTTATTAGGTAGCCTTTCTTTTTAAGTAAATCATTTTTCAATATGGTCTTGCCTACATTTTTTTTCCTGACCTCGATTTAAAATTACAATAAAGAATATTTTTAATTTTTACTTTTGTTTTGCCTAATAAAGCACAATAAAGCATAAAAAAATCAATTCTGGCCAGAAGCGACAGACAGCTCATGCCTGTAATCCCAACACTTTGGGAGGCCAAGGCATGAGGATAACTTGAGCCCAGGAGTTCAAGACTTGCCTGGGCAACATAGGGAGACTATGTCTTGACCAAAAAAAAAAAAAAAAAAAAAAAAAAAAAAAAAATGCCTGCTGTGATAGTTCATGCCTGTACAGCTACTGAGGAGGCTGAGGTTGAAGAATCACTTGAGCCCAGGAGGTTGAGGCTACAGTGAGCCATGAATGCACTACTGCACTTCAGCCTGGGTAACAGAGTGAGACCCTGTCCCAAAACAAAACAGAACAAAACAGAACAGAACAACCTTCCAAACACAAACAAATGTTTTTTCCACATCTGGCTCTGATCCGTGTTCATATAGAGAAATTTTGGAATTCTGAATTTGTCACTTAGCATTTTATTTTTAAAAATTTCCGGCCGGGCGCGGTGGCTCAAGCCTGTAATCCCAGCACTTTGGGAGGCCGAGGCGGGTGGATCACGAGGTCAAGAGATCGAGACCATCCTGGTCAACATGGTGAAACCCCGTCTCTACTGAAAATACAAAAAATTAGCTGGGCATGGTGGCGCGTGCCTGTAATCCCAGCCTCTCAGGAGGCTGAGGCAGGAGAATTGCCTGAACCCGGGAGGCGGAGGTTGCGGTGAGCCGAGATCGCGCCATTGCACTCCAGCCTGGGTAACAAGAGCGAAACTCCGTCTCAGAAAAAAAAAAAAAAAAAAAAAAAAATTTCCATGCTACCATACAGTGATTGTCATTTTTAGCAATTGCATGATGTTCCAACGTGTTTTTATTTGTATCATAACTTAGCTAACCGTTTCTTTATTATCAGACATTTAAGCTATTTCTCTATTTTTAGTTGCCCTAAGGAGCTTGATGTGTATGGATTTTGCTTTTGTTTTGAACCAATTATCTTGGGATAATTTTCTGGAAGTCTGGTTATTGGGTCAAAGGATATGAACTTTTTTTTTTATGACTTTTGTTAATAATTACTAAATTGCTTTCCAAAAGGTTGAACAAATTCACAAAGGCATATCCCAACCCCATGGCACAATTGCTGAGGTTTTCAGGGAAGGACAGGCAATTCTAGAGGTCTGTTGGGTTTTCCCATGACAAAGAAAGAAAGACTACAAATATACAAGTCATATTACCTTATCTAAGAAGAAACACAAGGAGCCTAATGATAACAACAGTATTATGGCACTGCCCAACCATCTCACCCACTATGGGCCAGCACTTTCCTTGCATTCTTTCTATTATATAATTCTAATATATATTCTACAATTCTCAACCCTAGGAAGTTAGATCTTACTGCATCTCAGTTCACAGATGAGGCAAGGTTGGGAAGAGAGGTTAAAGCCTTGCCCCAGGGTTATACAGTGAGGTGGTATTGTAATGTGGATTTGAACCCTCTATTGTTGGGTTTTAAAATTTTATTATTTCATCTTTTTTTCTTTTTCTTTTTTTTTTTAAGATGGAGTCTTGCCCTGTTACCCAGGCTGTAGTGTAATGGCATGATCTTGGCTCACTGCAACCTCCACCTCCTGGGCTCAAGCAGTTCTCCTGCCTCTGCCTCCCGAGTAGCTGGGATTACAGGCATGTGACACCACATCCACCTAATTTTTTGTTTCTTTAGTAGAGATGGGGTTTCACCATGCTGGCCAGGCTGGTCTCAAACTCCTGACCTCATGATCCTCCCATCTTGGCCTCCCATAGTGCTGGGATTACAGGTGTGAGCCACCACACCCAGCCTATTTCATCTTTTTAAAAAACTTTAAAAAAATGTTTTCTTTCTTCTTTCCTTCCTGCTTGAATCAGAATGAATCCTGTGTTTTACAAATGCTGCTATGCTATTAGGTTGGTGCAAAAGTAATTGTGGGTTTTGCCATTACAGTTTACTTTTTTTGTGTGTGAGATGGAGTCTTGCTCTGTCACCCTGGCTGGAGCTTGGTGACGCAATCTCGGCTCACTTCAACCTCCGCCTCCCAGGCTTAAGCGATTCTCCTGCGTCAGCATCCCTAGTAGCTGGGATTATAGGTGTACGCCACCATGCCTGGCTAATTTTTGTATATTTAGTAGAGATGGGGTTTCTAAAGAGACCATGTTGGCCAGGCTGGTATGAACTGACCTCAAGTGATCTGCCCACCTTGGCCTCCCAGAGTGCTGGGATTATAGGCATGAGCCACCGTGCTCAAGCCTTACAGTTTACTTTTAATGGCAAAACCTGCAATTACTTTTGCACCAACCTAATAACTTTCACACCATTGATTCCTAAAGCAGTCCCAGAATCTCACCAACTAGGTGCCTCTTAATTCCTAAATTGGCTGTAAAATGGAGTATGATACTATAGATGCAGTAGGCTCAAGATGTCCACAATATCCCGCTGCTGCTCCCATCAAGAGGTGGTCTATTGACCCTCCCCCTCAAGTCAGGCTGGCCTGTGACTTTTTTTTGACCAATAGAATGCAGCATCACCACATCACACCAGACTTAGATCTGACAGCTTCAGTGCTCACCCTCTCTTGGAGCCCCAAGCCACTATGTAAACAGGACCAATCTTTCTAGAGCGACCGCAGAAGAAATAAATGCGTGGCCAGCCCAGCTTTTTCAGCCATCACAGCTGAGGCTCTAGATATCATTGTCACCATCTTGGATCCTCTATCCTCACTTAAGCTGACAACATGTGGAACAGAAACAAACCATCCCTGATGAGCTAAGAATCAGCTGTTGCTTTAGATGCTGTTAAATATTGAGGTGCTCTGTTAATGCAACAAAAATAACTGAAGCAATAGGGTTTACTTTGGTGAAAACCAAGTGCAGAAAGAGTACCAGCAGTAAGTTCAGTCTTCCCTAACCTGCACACAAGCAGAATAAAACTCACTGACATTTACGACCTCTCATGCCACCTAGCACTTAACCTCTCTCATGACACTGAGTCTGCTGCACAGCCTTAACTTATGTACATGGCTGCCTTCCCTACCAGATTAGGTATAAATTACCTTCGTAACCATAGCCTTTTATGCAAGGCCTGGCACAAAAGAGTAGCTGAATACATACATATTTGTTGAATGAATTTTGACTTGCTCTTGGTTGATTGATGAAAGCACTTGAAATGGAATAACAGCTTTTATTTATTGTGCTCGGCATTGTGTAAAGTATTTTACATAGATTATTTCATTTAATCTTCACAATGATCCCATGAAATAGGCCCGATGATTATCTTCATTTTATAGATGAGGAAAGTGAGCAGCTAGGTAACTTGCTTGAAGTCACGCTGCTGGAGCCTGCACAGATTCAAACCCCACTTTGCAAAAAGGAAAAGTTTTATTATGAAACATTTCAATCACACAAATAACTATAGAGATGAATACAACACACACCATTTTACTTCTGCTTCCCCAGTCACTGCTTTTAACGATAAAATGCTGCAGATTCAGCTTAAGTTCCTTGTGTACTTGTCATTGGGAGGGTATACAGTGAACTTCAACTGATCTGTATCCTTCTCCTCCTCCTTCATCCTTGATCCCAAGATAACCACCAACATGAATCTGGTGTTTTTAACTCATGCCTGTTTTTGTTTTTTCAACATATGCACGGAGTCATAGGCAATGTTTTGTGGGTTTTTAAAAAACTACATAAAAGGAATCATATTGTAGGCTGGGCACGGTGGCTTATACCTGTAATCCCAACACTTTGGGAGGCCAAGGTGGGCAGATCACCTGAGGTTGGGAGTTTGAGACCAGCCTGACCAACATGAAAAACCCCCATCTCTACTAAAAATACAAAATTAGCTGGGCATAGTGGCACATGCCTATAATCCCAGCTACTCGGGAGGCTGAGGCAGGAGAATGGCTTGAGCCCAGGAGGCAGAGGTTGCAGTGAGCCGAGATTGCACCATTGCACTCCAGCCTGGGCAACAAGAGCAAAACTCAGTCTCAAAAAAAAAAATGGAATCATACTGTTTCACCCCTCTGTGCCAGAAATGGCCTTTTCTTAGTCAATAAATACATTTTTTATATTCATCCATGTTAATATATATATGTAGCCTTTTGATACTATATATTTCACTGTAGAACTACACCATAATTTATTAGTCATTCACCTGTTGATGGACATTGTTTCCAAAAAGAATGTTTTTGTTGCTGTTACAATGTTTCAATGGACATTTGTATACACATCTCCCTAAACAGATCAGTAACAGTTTCCACCTAGGAGTGTTGTTGCTGGATTACAATTTACATACATCTTTAGCTCTACTAGATTTTTTCCAAATTGTTGTGCGAAGTGGTTGTACTAATATTCCCAGAGCCCAGTCTCTTAAACATTATGCTTTTTTTCTCTTTGAGACAGGGTCTCACTCTGTTGTCCTGGCTGGAGTGCGGCAGTGCAGTCATAGCTCACCGCAGCTTTGTTCTCCCAGCCTGAAGCGATCCTCTCACTTCAGCCTCCCAAGTAGCTGGGACTACAGGCTCATGCCATCATTTCCGACTAATTTGTTTTATTTTTATTTTTATTAGAGATGAGGTTTTGCTATGTTGCCCAGGCTGGTCTCAAAC